TATATATTTTGTATGTACATAATATTAAATTTATAACTTCGTAGTATATTTTAAACATAGTATTATAAGTTATATTTATGCATGTATTAAAATTATAAGTTCGATAAAGATATAATAATTTTATATTCGATCAATGGTTAAAATATTATATTATATTTTTAGGTTAGTATTATATTTTTGTAATTTGAGGGATCAAGAACAATTTATTAGAAAAAAATATTAAATTTATTATAACAATTGCTTATGAGATTATAAAGAATTTTACTATGACATTAAAACAAATTAATTATTTAAAAAACAATCATTTAATCATATAAAAAATATAATATTAGTTTTAAAATAAATAACTTGAACAAAAAATTTTTTAATATCATTTTTATGTTTATATAACTTCCATATATCATTTAGTGTAAAAATATAATTATTAATTTTAATAATAACAATTATATGATACAATGAAAAATATAGTTATTACTCAATTAATATAAAATTTAATGTTTTTGTCTTAGTTAACCCAAAAAAAGTCCAATGAATTATTTTCATTGCTGGGTTAGGGTGCATTAATGTATTATTATTATTAATAATACTAATAATAATAATAATGTTGGATTGTAACGGTTATTATAATAGGAAAGTGCCATGTAGATAAATTTATTAGGTTTTACTTATGATATTTTAATAAATGATTAGTTAGCAATAGTATATATATAGATATATCAAATCCTAGTGTTTACTTATTTCGTTTTTTGGTGTTTCGGAGCGATCCATGCTTTGTAAGTGTTAAATTTTGGTGCTTCGCAATTTTTACGTATCACTATGTGATGTTTCATAGTTGTCCGTGTAAACTTGGACTTTTATCCATATCAATTAGGCCTCGTTTACTAGAGATGATGAAACTTGACAAATTAATCCTCCAATTTGCTACATCAGATTTTAGATACAAACTGTCCCATGTTTACCAAAGTGGATAAAAGTCTTGATAAATACATCAAATTATCGATTTAATTAATGAAATTAATATTTTTATAAATTAAATATATTATTTTGAATTAAATAAGATATTATAAAACAATATTTAATAGATTAAATAAAATTAATTAAATTAATATTTTATAGATTAAACAATATTATTTTAAGTTAAATAAATTATATATAATTTTTTTAATTAATATTTTATAAATTAAATAATTTTATTTTAAATTAAATAATTTTATTTTACATTAAATTAAATTACTTTATTTATTATTAATTTATTTAAATTAATAAAAAATATTTTATAAATTAAATAATATTATTTAAATTAATTAAAATATTTTAAATTAAATAATATTATTTCGAATTAAATAAAAGTATTTTAATTGAAACAAAAAATAGTTAAATTATAATTTTATAAATTAAATAACGTTATTTAAATCAAATTAACATTTTTAAATTAGACAAAATTATTTAAATTAATATTTTATAGATTAAATAATATTATTTTAAACTAAATAATTATTAATTTTTTTTAATAAACTAAATAATAATAATTTAAATTAAATTAACTTGTTCTATATTAAACAATATTTTTAAATTAAATAAAATTAATTAAATTAATACTTTAATAATTAAATAATATAATTTTAAATCAAATAAAATTATTTTAGATTATATATAATATTATTTTTAATTAAATAAAAAATATTTAAATTAATATTTTATAAATATCCGTCCAAAATTAGAACTCAAATTTGGGAATAGAAATATCCTCTCAAAATGGGGGGACAAAACAATCCATCCACATCATGTTAATGAATGAATATAAGTAAATATCTACGTGGAGACTTGAACTTCTATACATGTCTATTAGAGTCTTAACATACATGAATAGAGTTTAAGATATAATTGGCCCGTAAACAATTGTGAAGTACAACAAAATGACACATAATATTACGAAACACCATAATCTCCCCCACCCCACCCCCCTTATATATTAATCCAGAACGCGCTGAGCCTACGTGGCTGCTTATGGTGCTTCGGAATCCTATGTGGCAAAATTACATGTTTCGTTATTAGGCTTGGATAAATTTTAATTTAATTCCAAACCAAAAATAATTAGGTTCGGATTACCATAAATATGTTGATTATTTATGGACATGATAAATGTATCAATTGCATCTTAATATCATTCCTTATTATAACTATTGATTTGTATATGTATTTTAAAAGTTAATAAATTTTGTATTTTTATCAGTTTTACATATGTAATATATCAAATTAATCTTCTTTTGATGAGTTTCGATTTAACATCCATATTGTATGTATAAAAAAATAATTTATATTTATCTTTATAACAATAATAAAATTATTTTTAATATTAATTAGAAAAATAAAATTATTTATCAACTAATATATTTATATTCAAGTAGTTTGTTGTAAATAATTTCCGGAGTAGAATCGAAAGATTCGGACACCGGGTCGTGTCTCACGAGGAAGGTCAGCCGGAATATAATGTACGATTATTCAAACACGAAAAGAAATAAAATACCTAAACATACTAATTCAAATTATTGGGTTTGATTTAATTATCTACTAGCATGAAAATTTAAATGAAGCAGTAAAAATAACGAGCAAAAACGAAGAACAAATAGGATTTAACGAGCTAG